AGATTCGAACCCGGGATCTTTGGTCATGGAGTTTGACGCTCTACCATTGAGCGACGGGCCCGTTGTCCTGTCGGTTGTGATCGGGAATATTAATTATGATAGTGGGCGCTCACCGATCAGGTTACAGAACATGCTCGTTCTGTTGTACCTTGGGGCTCATACTTAAACCCTCGCAGGCAGTCGCACAGCGACTAGAGATATATGTTGAGAAGATGGAGCCGACAAAGATAAGGGAGACCGGAATGGCCATTTCTGGCTTATTAGCCGTCATCAGCCAGTCATACCCAGCCCCAAGTGTGGATCACTTGACATTCGAACCCGGGATCTTCTGTTCTGTAACCTGATCGGTGAGCGCCCATCTGATATTCCCGATCACAACCGACAGGACAACGGGCCCGTGGCTCAATGGTAGAGCGTCAAACTCCATGACCAAAGATCCCGGGTTCGAATGTCAAGTGATCCACACTTGGGGTTGGGTATGACTGGCTGATGACGGCTAATAAACCAGAAATGGCCATTCCGGTCTCCCTTATCTTTGTCGGCTCCATCTTCTCAACATATATCTCTAGTCGCTGTGCGACTGCCTGCGAGGGTTTAAGTATGAGCCCCAAGGCACAACAGAACGAGCATGTTCTGTAACCTGATCGGTGAGCGCCCATCTGTCATAGTATGTATATCTTGGGTATGCTTGGGAGTTTTGGATCACACCGCAAGTCTCCAGCACCCTTAACAGAGTAATTCTATCAGCACAGTCAATGAAGTGGGTAATCGTCTTCGACTTGAAACTCGTCCTAGGGTCCCGTCACAAAGTAAATGTTTAACTGATGCTCTCTGCCACGAGGGAACAGTCCTGCGGGGTACCCGCGCTATTCATTTTTGTGAAGAGGCATCAACCCAACGGGCAGATTTGGGTTGTCACGCCCACTGGAATATCACAGATAATCTAAAAGTAACATTTCACAGGTCGTGCAATTGTAAGTTTGCAAGACCAGCTACCCGGAGCTGTGCACTTTGAGTGCGCCGGATTACTGCTCGGGGTTAGATTGCAGAAAGTGGCGGCATCAATTCTTGAGAAAAGTACAGTGGGACAGTCAGAGGGCTCTTTGAACCGCTCAGCCAACTGCTCTTATTAGAGAAGCAAGCGATTATTCACAGACGAGGTCAGCAAAATCTGTCTTCTTTCTGACTGTTCAAGCAGTCGCCAAATTGACTTTTAGTCAACGTGGAAGACGCATTTAGAGGTACTGTCGTTGATGACGAAGACTCGTTCCAATTAAAAGACCATGTTTAGCCGATATTGCTTTCGGTTGGTTCTCACTGACCGTGCAGTTTGTCGATAAATAGTTGGATTTCCAGTAATTTTGGCACGAGTTTATCTGCTACCTAAGTATTTTTGGATATCGTATCTTCTGTAATCTAGGCAAATAATCGACGCCTTAAATGTGTTTCTTTGACTGGCTCTCCACTTCAAAACCGGTGCCGTTGTTTTCCACCAGAACAGAATGTTTCGTGCCTTCCGACAAACGCGTTTGACTGTTTTGTTTCACTTAAAACTGAAGCTCCGTAGGCTAGGTGACTTTTACGCCGTTTGTCTCAGCTTCTCGCATTGGACGACTATGGAAAACCACACTTGCCCAATGCTTTTTCTCCAGAATGCAATCAATCTGGGCGGCGGCCGTCCCATCACATGAATGCCTCGGCGGCAGAATTTGGAACTTGTGCATCCTATATGGAAGCCGGCGAACGTTGTTAGTTTCGGGGACTTCTGCCTCAGGCATATATTCTGTTCTCAGCATTAGGGTATGGGGCATACAATTTGTTTTCTCATGTCGAAGTTGCCCGATTTGGAAGGCAGAACCCCCGTTGGTCCTACGTATTATTCATGCAGAAGACGTCTTACGACGTGAATAGGCGGTAATTTCTACTAGCTGGAAGGATTTTTTATGTACTATTGTTCGTTAATAGAAGCAAAGAGACGCGTTCCAGGAAGTAGTCGCAGGGAAGGAGACAGGATCGCTGACGTTTCGGATCCTCACTCGAATCCATCATCAGAGACAGAGCCAGATAAGGTTAATGGATTGCCCAGGTGTTGCAATATTTATAGGATGTAGTTGCTAGGCCGCTACATGCCTATCACAGTTGGCAGCTCCCGAATGCATCACAGCTCGACCGGCCAGGTGTTGAAGTATGCCGTGGCCATGCAGTTGCTATGAGTCTGTATACCGGTCACGATTTTCGGCTCCCACGCTCATCGCACGCTACCGAGTGGCTGACTACCGGATTTTGTCACCCGTGTGGACTCTTGGGTGATTTGGCTCGCCGCTATTGATACCCGAGACAGTGGTTACCCGCCCGCTATCCGGTTCACTGCGGTGCGTCTCCAAACGCTGGTATAGTGTCCTTACGCAACTGCGTTTGTGACTGATTGGTTGGTTGCTGTTGTAGCTCAGTACCTGCGTCGTGTTTGTCGCTTTCCTAAATAGGTTTTTTGGTCCCCACAATCTTTGCGGCAGACAAGGACATCAAAAAAGGCCAGCCGGTTGTCCTTCTCCTCCTCCTCCTTCTCCTCCTCCTCCTCCTCCTCCTCCTCCTCCTCCCCCATCGTAAATTGAATGTCCGGGAAGATGGCGTTGAGATGTTCTTTGAATTCCATCATTCATCATTCCATCAGTCATTCGGATAACTGTAGGACCGCTTCGGCTCTGAGTCCCGGAAGCCAGCGACCCAATTGGCGTTCCTTTCATCTGCTCGTAGATTGTTCCGTCGAACGTAAAGTACGTCTTGAGACAGAACTTCAGGAGCTGGATGATTTGGGCGTGTCCGAGGCGATTCTCCGTTTCGTCGTATTTCTCTCGTAGGAGTTGTTCGATGGTCTCGACTGCCAGGTCCTGCGGGATAGAAGTAAAACGGGACGTGACATCAAAGGTTACCATGACGTCGCTTGGCAGGAGACTTACCCCTTTAAGTTTCTCCAAGAATTGCGTTGGCGAACTGACTGTAATGTCTGAATTTGCGGTCAGTAATTTGAGACGCCGAATACTTGGGCGTGTCGACGCTTATGGCTTCGCCTTGTAGGGTAGAAGATATGGTGTTTCGTGATGGGACATTTCATGCACTTTGCCGCACAATCTGAGACGGAGGCCTTGCCTGCAGACCGGAGTTCTCGACAAGTGCGAGCGACGGCCGCAACATCATCCCAGATGGAGAACAGACACTAGTCCCGACATCCTGAAAGTTTTCCAGGCTCTTCTATTAAGCCTCCTCACTTATAAATTGCAACGAGACTGTAAAAAGAAGACGGTCTTGCTGAACGAAAAGGACAATATCCGAGGTCTTTGCCTAACTGTAATCTAGCGGCTAGTTTCCGAAGGCCTTTGGAATCAGGAGAGTTTGGTCTGACTGAAAATGGTTAGCAAACCAAGTTACAATCCTAATCCACGCCTTACTCTGATTAATGTATCTTTCCGCGCGTCGCCAGCTGATGGGGCTCGGTCAGAGACAGTACACCCCGTCCCGCGATTGGACCACGCAAATTAGTCGGTCAGTCAGTCAGCGTATTTGAGGGAAATAGGCTTACGCCTTTTAACTCCCTATTTGTACATCAAAATCAAGAAAATAAGCAAAAATGTGAAGAAATTACAACATTAAGTGAATGCAGACATTGATTCACGTAGGTCACGTGTCTCATGGTTAAAAAGTCACATAGTCCGCTTGTTGCTGCAGCATATATCTGTCAATCCGGCATTTAAATGTCTTCATAGATTGAGACATGACAATCGTCTCGGTCAGGTTATTCCACAGTTCCACGACACGGTTGGAGAAAAAATATTTTCTCACATTCAGTCTACCCTGGGGCACACGTAGCTTGAAGGGATGTCCCCGGAGGTTAGTTGTAGTGGCCAGTTGGCAAAAGTCGTCGCACCGAAGGGCGCAGTCCAAGTCACTCACTATACGGAAAGTTTGTATCAAGTCTCCGCGCAACTGCCTATAACTCAGAGGATAGAGATCAAGGCTAGTTAAGCGGATGTCGTATGGCAGTGCACCTTGAGCTCTTATTAATTTTGTTGCTCGCCTCTGCACCATTTCGAGCAGATTGTAATCCTGCTTCGTCCACGGTTTCCAGGCCTGAATTGCATATTCCAGGTGCGGCCTTACAAACGTGCCGAAGACTTTGGAGAAGCAGTCTTCGTCAAAAACTGCGAATGCCCGCTTGCTGGCATATAGCATTGAAGTTGCGGCCTTGGCCGCCTTACAACATTGTGTAGAAGGCTTTAGGCTGTCTGCAACCCAGACCCCGAGATCCTTCTGCGTTTCTTCTTCTTCTTCTTCTTCTTCTTCTTCTCGGAGTGACATTCCGTTCAGATGGTATTGCCGCGCACTAGGAGTCTGATTTCCGAGGCGCAGTATGGTAAATTTGTTCAAATTGAAGGACAAGAGCCATCCGCGGGACCACTCGCCCAGTCGGCAAAGATTTTCTTGGAAGTTGGTCTCATCGGCAACATTCTGGATGACTTTCCAGATTTTTATGTCATCCGCAAACATGGCACTATCACAGTCAAATCCATCTGCACAATCATTGATGAACAAGAGAAAGAGGGTTGGTCCGAGCACCGAGCCTTGTAGGACTCCACTTTCTATGCATGTGCGCTTTGATTGCTGTTGTTCTACGCAGACAATTTGGGAGCAGCCGACAAGGAAATTCTCGATCCATTGGAGAAGTTAGCCCCCTTGTCGGTTTAAGCCTCGGTAGCTTTAGTTACGAAACATGTCCCATCATTTCAGATCTTTTCCTTGGTGTGCCGGATTTGTGTTCAAATGTCCAATTTTTCTAATGTAGGTGAAATACGACTGGTTGGCGACAGAAAGTTAGTTTGCTGTTTGGCTGGTTAGAGCGTTGGGAAGAATCTTTACTGATCTTAATATTTTGCATTTTAGGAGACTCATAAGTCATGTCGTCATCACGCACCTCCACACCATCAAACAAGGATGCACAATCTTATATGTCTCGTATCCTCCTTCCAACCGATCCGTTGCGACTGGTCTCAACCAATTCCCCCTCTAGAAATACTCCTCTGCGGACTTCTTCGCCAGCACCTACCAGCCCTTCTCCGTGGGCCCTTTCTCGATTGGCTGCTGCATCGCCCCGCGGTAGAAGTGGGACACCACCCTCGCTGTTTAATTTTAAGTCTCCCGTGCGCAGTCCCATCTGCTCGCCGGCCAACCGAGGCTTCCGTGTGGGCAGCAGCACCTCAACGCACTCTCGACTCGGATTCCTTCCCAGGGTTACTGACCTCACGATGGAGCCAACCTCCATGATGGAACGGGCACTGCGCATTCTGGAGTCGAAGAAACGTCCCCTCAACGCCCTGTCGGACGAGACCGAGAACCTGCCCCTACCCGCAGATGGTTTGGCCACCTCGAAGCGACGCTGTGCTAGCACGAGTACAAGCACAGTCCAACAGAATAACAGTCACCAGACTGGACTTCCTGACGTGGCTAATCTGGGCGTAAATGGGACACCGGAATACTTTAAGTGCACGTCACTTGTCGATATGAAGCGAGCTAGTCGACGCTCCTCAGGCAGTAATTCTGATCTGACCTCAGAACCGGGACCCCCCGACGTCGTCGTGTCAACCCGACGCAACAGACCCATCGTTAAGCCTCTGTCCTCTTCAATCCTACCCAACCGGGTCTCTTGCCTGCCCTCTGCCGAACTGGAAGCTCTGGCTTTTGGCTCTAGAAAAAGGCCCAGAGCTGAGTCTCCGCACAACTCCACCACTAGTGCTGCTACTGAACTTTTGGATAGCATCCTCGGCACCAATACTGCAAGCCCTGCTGCACCGGCTGCCAAACGAATTACACGGGAAATTCCCACTCAGACTGAGGACGGGTGTCCATCGCAGCCACAACTGACTTCGGTAGCCGTGAGTGCAGTCGCCAGCCCCACCAACGCCACCGGCACTTCATTCAGTCCACCAATTGCCATTCAGCCCCTGCGACATGTGAGCTCAGTGTCAAAGTTCATCGCGGGCCTGGAGGCGCGTGCAAGGGCCAGCTCACTGGCGCGTTCCCGAAATCGTCAGGCAAGGTCCTTAGCTGGTCAGATAGAGACCTCGGGCAGTCCAATGTCGTCCTCATTAGAGGCTCGGCATGATCGCATCCGCAAGTTATTTGCCAGTCTGGCGGAGGTTCCATCAACAGTTACAGCAACATCGTCGACGGTGTCCTCGTCGTCGTCATCAGCAACGGTGACCGCAACTACTGAATCGTCATGTTCCACCACCGTCTCGACCACCGCATCGGCTCCAAGTGTTCCTGCATTTGTCTTTGGTAAAGAACAATCACAAAAGACGACCGAGTCAGTGGACTCTACCAGTACTGCTGGGAAGACAGCGTCATTTTCCCCTGCTGCCGCTGCCGCGACAGCTCCCTCCTGGCCAAAGACGGATGTGGGATCGGCTGTCAAACCGGAACTACCTGCCTTTTCCGGACTCCCTACGGCCAGCTCTGCCGTTCAAAGCAACGGCACAACATCAACTGCAGGCTTCACAATTGGCAGCTGTAAGTCCATGCCTTGTCCATGCCATCCAGATTCTAATGTTGGCCACGATGGTCGCTTGAACGAAGAGTCGGGCAGATCGAATTCATTAGAATTTTTATCAGTATCGGCCCCACAGCCCACTTGCGTAGGCTGAACTCTAGGTTATTAAGTAGTCTTTCAGGTGGTAGCTTTTACGTGCGGGCAAAAAGCTTTCCTTTTGAGCCCTATTTGTGTGATGCTATCATCAGCCAGTGAAGCGCGAAGCAAAATGTCCTCTTGCATCCTGTTGAGGCCTTTTAAGTTGCTTCTTAGGAAGGACACATTAGCGTTAAACTCGAGGCTTAAAACGTCATAATATCATTTCTGTCGTTCCATACAGTAGGCATTATCTATACCCTTCCACCTCAAGACAGGCTTGCATTGATGCATTTTTAAGTCTACCCCCCTGTTTTATTGACTTTTAGCCCGCATGACAGTCGGTCAGACCACAGCTTCTACCACTCCCTTGTTTGCTGTTAGTGGCAGTAGCAGTTTGCCGTCATCGACACCCACCATCTGTTCAACCGCAGTGACCACTAGCACCGCCTCCCCCGTCACGTCTGCCGTGGGAGTCTCTCCAGCAGCTCCTCTAGCCAACTCAACTTCCATGCCCTCTTTCAACTTTGGCGCCAAGAGTTCAAGCTCATCGACTTCGACGACATCAACGCCAGCCTTTAACTTTGGACGCGTGGAGACAGTTGCCA